AGCCCCCACCCAGGAAGGCTATAGAACTTCATCAGCACCCCTGAGCCTCCACAAGTCTGGACATCCCTGTCCTGACCTTTGTGCTGACCTTGGGCTGCTTTGCTTTGCTGTTTTACCACCCGCAGATGCACCTTGCAGAAGAAAGCGTGGGGTTGCCGGTGCTGACGTAATGTAGATGAGATAGCGCCCTTGCTAGCGCATGCTCATTGGCTCGCCTTGAGGTCTATGAGTTCATCCATGTGGCTGAGTGCAGCTAGAGCTTGTCCCTTTTATTCCATATTTTGCACGCACACTCCACAGTTATGTTTCCACCCCACTGTGACAGGCAGCTGATTTCCCCTGGCTTACAGCTATTACAAAAAATACTGCAATGAGCGCTCTTGTCCACCTCCCTGGGCACATGCGAGCGTCTCTGGGAGTGCGAGTGTGGGGTTGCAGAGCAGGCTCAGTATCGATCTTCCCAGGCACTGTCTCTATCTGGAGCGAGTGCTCCACCCCACAGTCCCACCAGCAATGAAAATTCTGATTGCCACACACACACACACACACACACACACACACACAGGATGTTCCAGCTTTAAGATGATTCTCAGACTCAACGTTTTATTGAATGAAGGAATCGATGACTAGAGACACAGCCACATGCACCTCGTTCCCGCCCTGGGAACATCCTCTTAGACAAGCCTAGATGTTTCAGAGTGTGTCCTCCAGCGAGGTCTCTTTAACGCCATCTATGGCTTCATCCCTCCCCCATGGGCTAAGATTCTCTTCAACAGATGAGAAACTGAGACGCAAACAGGCCCTAGGGGAGCAGAGAGCTTTACCAGCCTCCCCAACAGAGACAGGAGCCAGGAGGCCTGATCCCCTTCCTTAGGCCAGCCTGACTTTGGGCATGTCACCTCCTCCTTCTCTGGGGACCTTGACCTCACATGGCACAGGTGAGTTCCCAGGAACTCAGGCTAGGAGGGTTTGGACCTGGAGCAGAGCTGCACTAGCTCAGAGGAGGCTCTTGCAGGCCGTGTGGGCCGCAGCACCCAGTCTAAGGAGCCCAGCCTGGCCTCATCCTCCAGACAGAATGGAAGCCCTCTCCCAGTGCCCTGACGTCCGGCCTAGGCTCCCATCAATGTCCCATCTCACCCACCTGTGCCCTCCTCCATCTGGGCACAGCACCCTGCCGGTCAGGGTGATAGATGGGGACTGTGCTCAAGGGGCCTGCGGTTCCTCCCCCAGAGCTATTCCTGGCCTGGGCACCTCCCCACCCGCCTCCCAGTCCCCCGCCTGACCTGACCCCACAGCTGGGAATCGTTTGCAGGGGGTGGGGCAGCCCCTGACTATATAAGCCTGAACCTGGGTGTCCCGGGCACCTCCGAGGCCCACACTCTCCACTGCTGACCTCTGCACAGGCGAGCCTGACCCCCAGCCAGTCCAGCAATGACGGGAAAAGCCAGCTCTGAGGCCCCCGCCTGTGGCCCAGAGGAGATGGCGTCAGAGTCCACCCGGGTGCCCACCACAGAGCCTTCTGGAGAGGCGGCAGTGCCAGAGTCCACCGGGGAAGACCAGGCTCCTGAGCCGCAGGAGCTTGCCTCTCAGGCACCTGCTCCTGCAGCACCAGCAGCCCCTGCAGCCACCCCTGCACCGGCAAGTGAAGGTGACAGGGAAGGGTATGGGGGAGGGAGGAAGGCGTGCAGGGCGTGGGAGGCCATGGCTGTGAACCTCTTCTTTCCATGCTGGCCTCCCCAGACGTCCCCAGTGCCCCACTGCAGCTAACCTTGGAAGACGTGAGCACAAGCTCAGTGACCGTGAGCTGGGAGCCCCCAGAGAGGCTGGGGAGGCTGGGGCTCCAGGGCTATGTGCTGGAGCTCTGCCGAGACGGAGGTGAGTGCTGGGTGGCCCCCTACACGCCCAGGGGAGGTGGGCTTGCAGGCCAGCAGGACCAAGCTCCAGACCCTGCTGACCCTAATGGGTTAGTGTGGGGAGACACAGGAGGGCATGCAAGCCACAGTCCCCTCCTCCTCCACCAACCACGCCTTCCTCTACCAGGGCACCTCTGAAGGCAGGAGTGTCCACATGAACCTCAGGAACCCCCTCACCCTACAGCTCCAGGGAGCCTCTGAGTGACAGAGGTGGGGGACACTGGGTATTGCTCTGATGAGAAGAGAAGGACCCTGCTCAGAGAGGGCAATGCAGGAGGTAGAGACAGAGGGCTGGAGCGTGTGCGTGGGGACAGGGGGTACAGTAAGAGACAGTGAGGGGAATAGGGACAGTCAGGTTCCTGCTGCCACCCTCTGCCTCCATGGCAGCCAGGTTCAGCCTGACCTTCACCTCTGCCCCTACCTTGCTGTGTGACTTTGCAGATGTGTCCAACCATCTCTGGGCTCCAGCAACCCCATCTCACCCCCACTCCCCCATTCCAGGACTCTAACATCAGGGTCTTTGATGCCAATTGGCAGTAGTAAGTTAGGGAAAGGGAGCATGGGGGGCTTAAGACTCAGAGAGAGAAGTCCGCTTCCCCAGGTTACCAGCCAGATGGAAGCTCACTGAGAAGGGTGCCCACAGTCTGCCGCCAAGGCCTCATGCCCCCTCCATTCTTCTCAGCCTCAGAGTGGGTTCCTGTGACTGCCCGGCCCATGATGGTGACCCAGCAGACGGTGCGTGGCCTGGCTCTGGGAGACAAGTTCTCGCTGCGCGTGGCTGCGGTGAGCTCGGCAGGGGGGGGGCCCCCCGCCGC